GTGCACAGCTGCCCCACACAAATCTTCCCAAGAAGGGAAAGGGACCCAGCACGCTGGGTCACAGTGCCCAGGGCTGCATGGATCTTTCAGCAGCTCTCTTACTGGCTTGGGGCAAAGCTGTGAGCACTCCTCCACCCTCCCATTGCTGCAGAAGTAGGACCTTTGGACCCTATAAACAATTCAGCATCCTTTCCATGCTCCAGAGCTAGGACTCCACCAGAGTTTTGTGTCCTCCTGTGGTTGTAAAGAGGGGATTCTGCCCTCAGTTGCAAAAAAAGAGGCTTTAATTGAAGTTTCCTGGGGGGAAACCAGTAATTGCCCTCACAGCTGGTAGAAGGGTGGGACCACCAATACAGTCAGGGCTGTTGCTATTGTTGCAGTTTCCATGGGTGTATTCATGTCCCACTGACTGTAGTCAATCTGTTTTTCCTTGAAGTTTTGTGAAATGGTGTCTACTCCAGAAATGAGTCGCTGGGCCGGGCCGATCATTGATGTTCTCCTGGATTACGTGGGTAATGTGCAGCTCTGTTCCCGGCTCAAGGAGCATATTGACAGCTATGAGGACTGGGCTGTCATTAAAGAAAAAGCAGGTATGGTCACCCAGGAGAGAATCTGGGACAAACATTCCCACTGTTGGATTCAAAACCTCAGACACCATCTCCTCTTAGTATTCATCCCTTAAACTTGATAGAATTTCCCTGCTGAGACTGAATTATGTTTTGGATCAGTTATGAGGCACTAGAAATTGCTGGGGCATCACTGATTTTGTCGTATTAAATGTACACCAGCTGTGGATCTGACCCACTGGGAATGAGCGTTGCCAGTGCAGGAAGGCCCATTTGGCTGCACCTGAGTGCAGTCAGATCAGGGCAGGTGGGCAGCGTGATCATCTCCACAGCAGCCCAGCAGACACCAGTGGCCTTTAAAGCCTTTACTAATATTCTGCTGTCCTAAACATCCTTTCTCTCAGGATCCAAAGTCTTTCATAGACACTATCAGAATTAGCTTTATGGCACCAAGCTAAATTTGGTACGTATTACATTTATTTTCAGTCGGAAGGCATTGTGAAGTGGCTTGTTTAAATCCTCCTAGAAAGTCCATTGCTAAGGCTGAGATGGGACACAGTACCCCATCCTCCAGCCCTGCTTCCTTCCCTATGTCATGCCCCAGAGTAGATAAGCTGCCACCAATGCCAGGCACATCATCCCTCCATTACAGAAACCCCCTTTTTTCATTCCCCCTTCTCCCATTTTCCTCTTGCCACTGACCTGGCCAAGCCAAGCTGTCCCTCTCAAGTTTAAACTTGTTCTGCTCATGCTTCTGACCTGCCTGTCTTTCAGAGCCTCCACGACCTCTTTCCCATCTTTGCCGCATCAAGGTACGAAGCCTGGTTGGAAGAAACCGCATTAAACTTCTTGACACCTTGCCTCTCCCACACAGACTGATTCGATACTTACGGCATGATTACACACAGTGAACCCAGGCACACCGGACACGCAGCGGCTTCCCAGCATGGCACCCAGCGTCATTGGCATGGCGAGGGTGCACATCCTGCACAGTGGGGAGGAATAGCTGCTGGCTTGGTCAAGCACCCTCCAATAAATAATCTAAGAGAAATATGCTTCTGAAGCATGAGTGAGAAGAAAATGGAGGAGTCAGAGAGCTAAACATAGGACTGTTGTTAGGTTTCCCAAGAGAAAACACATACAGTTCACCTCCAAGCTTGGTCTGCAAAGAATAAGAAATGAAAGCCAACACTGAAAAATGAATAGTGCTGAAGCACTGAGGAATTGAAGGATATCCTGGAGTTGTGGTGGAGCTTAGCCATCCTTGCTGTGATCGCAATTCAGAAATTGTCAAAAGTCAACATACTTGGGAAAACAATCACATTTCCTTCACTGACCGAGATTTTTATTTTAGTTTCTATTCTACTTTTTGGATTTTTGCTAAGTGTGCTGGTTGCTAATTTCTGATACTTTGACACCATCTTTCTAACACTTTTGCTTTAATTTTTGGACCTTTCTTATTGAGTACTTGATTTCTGAACATTCAAAGCTCAGAACTTTTTAATAGACTCAAATCCAGAAATGCTGATTCCTTTAAGAGTCAAGGGAAGGTTTATTTAAGACAGATGTAAGAACTGTATTTGCACACAGTAAATACAGTTCAGGTTGTATTACATTTGCAAGAAGTACTAGGTGAAATTCTGCTTGAGAGAATTACCTAGACTGGGGATTTGAAAGCAACTCTGAGCTCTGTTTGGTGGGGGTTTTTTGGTGTAAATTAGTAGTCACTGCACTGTAACCAGTAGCTTTACTCTGTCATGAAGCTGGTGTCAGAACAGAATATAGCCATAGAGGAGCATGAACAGAAAGTGATGTGGAGGAGAGAAACAAGGTACATAGGGAGAGGCAACACTACTAAACCGATTTTATCTGTTGCTCCCCTATCAGATCTTGTCCGTACAAAAACCAGCCTCTCTTACCTCCTTGGACCTCTGTGGCTTAACAATACCATCACTGGAAGAAAAGAGAGATTATTTCAAAATTATGAAAGTCAGACTTTTGAGATTTATGAAAATGAATACCCAGAATTAGCCTTCCAAATCCTTATTCAGGTGCCTAACAATGCCTAGTTGCTTGTGCCAGGTGTACTTCCACTTAAGCCAATGGGACCACATTTGGTGTCAGATATTACTGAGGCAGAATAAAAATCTTAGGATTTAGTCCTGACTTTCCTGACTTTGGAAGTTTGAAGTATCTATTAGATCCCTTTGACACTGATGAAAGTTATTATCTCAGCTTCTTTGAAAATTAGGTCACCTATTTACATCTCAGATCCACAACTGATTTATAGCAGCTTAACAAGTTACCATCTATCAGCTGAACTGCTATAATTGTCCGTGAAATTCTTTTATTGAAGTTTTTTAACAAGTCACATTCCCTCACAGCTGGGGAGGCCAAGGAGCCCATGAAGGGTTACTGGCAGTGACTACAGCTCAGTTGACAGGTGTGACTTGCTGAACCACTGATTTGATGAGTGCCTCATTCCTGACTAGGCACCTAAGTAAGACGGAGGAGCCTAAATTTGGAACTACATCTTTGCAGATCTTATGCTAGAAGCCTACTCATTCTTACCTTAGATGACAAAGCAGCTGTGCACTGTGGTTTGTTTGGATTCCCCACCAGAGACCTGACAGATCTGGTTTTGTTTGTTGGCCTGCATACCATACATGGAATCAGATAGACATGTAAGTAGGGAAAATGTATTGCACTGAGTTTTATTTGTGTGGCGTTTTAAACCTTAACACAGGACTAAAAGTGTATTGCACACATACAAGTCTGTCTGGGCACAGAAGTTCAGATTCTGTGACGGTTTTGTGTGAAATGTGTTCAGCACTTGTGGGACAGGATGTGAGCAGAAGAATTGGTTACAGCTACGGGGACTCTGTCCATAGTTGTCCCCTTCCTAAATGCAAAAGAAGTTGAAAAACTGACAGAGTTTCAATTCGCACTTAACAGTGATCTTCTTGCAAAGCTTTAGAAAGTCAGATGAGATTTCCTCACTGCTGAAATTTTGTTTGGTGACTCCCATTACTACCAGTTTAGGACCTACTCCCTTGTCTCCTGCAGTGTAAACAGGGAATTGCTTCAGGTTGGAAAAATACTAGGTGGAGGGAAAGGGATGGGGAACAGGAAATCTTTAGACTAGTTTTGCCAGTAAAGACCCTGTACTGGTAAGCAATAGCTTGAGAGGTAGCAAATCACCTGTGAATTTTGTGCATCTCTCACTTTACGGGGCTGAGCAGCGAAGGTCTGGGTCCTACGCTCATTTAATTTCAAGGAGTTTTCTAATGATTTACATTAATGTGAGTAACAGTCGTAGAGGGTGATGGATACAAACATGGCTTGGTGGAGACGATTTACTTAAGCACTTGCTTGGTGTGCAATGACAGCCCTGGAGACCACTGACTGATAGAAGGATTCACAATCACCAACTGCATGTATAAGTACAGGGGTGGGATTTCATAAGCTATCCCGAACTGGGAATTTCCCCTGAGTCAACGTTGTTATGTATGCAAAAGTCTCATAAGTTGCAATTTCTTTTTATGTCCTTGGAGAAGCTGAAACTGAGTTTGAGTGAAAAAAATGGAAATGGCACTTCTTCTTTCAACCGAGTGACCTTGGTCTCTACTGGGAGACCCATGTCCTGGTTGCTCTCAACCATCTGTCCTGAGCAGGAGAGTCACTGAGCTGGAGAGCACTGGTCTGGTGGGAACATACCGCACCTGGGGGAAGTCTGAGGGCATACTGTGCACAGAAACCGAGGAGAGGAGAGAAGAGTCTGTTAGAGGGAGAATCTGGTAATTACAATGTTATTAAGTCCATTCTGCTTGATCCTTATGTTTATATGCACTGAAATGGGGCCCGCTGCCTCTCCACTCGTCATTGACACAATATTTTGTGCACAATACTGAATCTACAGAAATTCAATGTGCATTTAATGCATCTATCTAGAAGTTACTGTGAAAAGACAAATATCCCAAAACCCAAACAAACCAAGCTTTGTAAGCAGATCAGTGGTTCTAGTGCAAGGTGAAGTGGCTTGTTTTTACTGAGTGTGATAGACTCCTTCAGAGATGATAACTTTATGTGAAATGTTCTAGGAAAATTTCATGACCAGGTTACTGTACTTTTTTTTTTTTACTGCAACGTGCAATTCACTTGATGTTCTTGTGCACTTTTTTGATTTTTTTATTTCATTTTATATGAAAGCTTTTTCATTTACTTCTCCCTTCCCATTATTTATAAAAGCTATTGTGGGTTCAACAGTTTAAATTTGCATTGTTGTAGTAAATAGCAGCTCTTGAATGTTATGTTTCCATCTTTCAAACAATGTATGAATAAACAAGTAGATTCCAAAGGGCTATCAGCTGTCCTGAATAGCAACATTGAACAACCAAACACAAAATTAGCCAGGAAATGTCTGAATTAATCTAAGCTTGAACAATTAATAATTTTGATGGTAATCTCAGGGGTGAGAGAACAGTAAGTATTGCTAGAAAGGAGACACAGTTGCTATTCTTTGCAAACCTTTTGGAAAGTCTCACACATTGCCATTCAGTGATTTCAAAAATACTTAACAATTGTCTTCTGTTCATTTGTGTTTTACTTCACTGCTGCTCCAGTTCAGAGTGCCACCGCCTGCCCTGGGCTAGGGAGGGAAGTTCCGCATCACAAAGGATTTTAAAGATTTTAAAAAGTAACATCATTTTGAATCTGAGGGTGAGCACATAAATATCTGTGTGTTGGAGGTTACTCGGAATGGTCTGGTTCAATCCTTCATTGTAACTTAAAAACATGCTATTCTACTACATGGAAAATGTACAGAAACACACATTCAAATAAGAAACAGTTTAAACAAAGAAAAAGAAAAACAAAACAAAGAATTTAATATCCAAAAGGTAGAAACTTGATTTTAACTCTTTTTCTGAATTTCTTCAGAAATAAAATTTCTGCAAAGGCTACCCATTTTGCCAAGTATTTTAACTTTGATAGAAATCTATATTCTAGTGTGATATGCAGCACTTTCAGTTTTCCCTCCTGAACTGAAGCAGGAACGCTCATCCACAGCAATCACTGCAATACCTGCGGTTCATTCTACAACCTCCTCTGGTCACCCAGATGGAAATCCAGAAAAATGCCGAGGAGGCTGCTGTGCATTGACAGCACTGAGACAGAGTTCAGCATCTGGCTTCATCTGGATTGCAACAGTGACACAGAGCTGTTGGTGTGAGAAAGCGCTCCTATTTCCATGTAAAAAATCCCTTGCCTACAGTTCTGCAAATTAAGAGCTATAGTTCTCCTCCCATTAATTTAAATGGGGGTGCTTCCTCTGATTTCTGTTAGAGTCTCCTCATGGAAAGGGACAGAGTCTCCTCATGGATGTTTTTTCCAAAAAGACAAAAAGGGAAAGACATCTAAGTATATTCATATCTTCACTTCTGAATCAAGAGCTAACCTGATGTCTTTAACCCTTAAATCAGCTCTTTACCACCTTGCATCTTGCATGTAGTTGCAGGTATGTGCTACCAAAGCCATTTCTTGCTGTCTCTTCTATAGAAGTAGTCTACACAGGCTTGAGATAGATATAGATAGATATATATATGTAAAGTACTGGTAGCAGGGAGAAAGTAATGAAAGCCATCTCCGTTTCTACTTTTGGCCTGCTACATGAACACATTACAGCTATTGTTTCCATAAAAACATCCCATTGATGGGATATGCTGTGAGGTTTGGGGAAAGAATGAGTTACTGAGAGTAGTTTATATCCTAACGAAAGTTGCAACCTGGTTACATAACATCAAGCCCATCAGAAGATCCAAAATGATACTCTACGGTGGCTTAAGATGATCATTTTTTTAATGACTACAATGTGCTTGAAAGAAGCATTGCCTGTTTTTCCCCTTTTGGAGAT